ATACCGCGCCAGTCAGAGGCATTATCTGGCCTGATAAGGGGAGGAATTCGAGTAGGATTCATTGGTAGCTGAGCCAATTCCTCTAAACTTGGGCCACTGAACCGACTGTCCAGAGAGGCCAGATCAGCAACCTGCCATTCGGAAGGAGCGAAATTTGGCTCCATTAGCTCGTGGTCGGCCGGAGTTTTAGCTTTACTATTTCCGATTGTCAGAGGGCACTGAGCGGCCCAGTGTCCTTCATGATTGCACCGAAAGCAGACACCCCGTTTTGTTGAAGCCCCCTTGAAGGACTTAAAACTACCCGTTTTTCCAAACTTTTTGTTGAACTTATCTCGTTTAAATTGAGAACGGAGACGAAACTGGCGGCGAGTACCTCCCTTACTGAAACATTTTTTCTTGATATTAAGCTTGATGTAGTTGCCAGAGGGAATTGCACGTCGCCTAGTTATTTGAGGAGCAGCCGAAACAGAATAAGTCTGTTTTGGAATTTTGGTTTCCAAATTTGCATGTGATGAGACAACTTTGTTCTGGGCACTGGAGCACATTTCCGTTGACTGCTGATATGCAATCTTAGTGGGCCTCGCTAACATAACTTCTTCTTCTAGGGAGGCGGTTGAATGTGGATCTTTGAGACGAGAAGTATCGTCGATAATCGTGGATGGCAATAAACTGAAAGCAGTTGCTTTTCCGTCGTTTTGACGAACTTTAGAAGGAATTGAAATCAACGAACCCGATATTAAAGTGCTTCGTTGATCAGTGGATTTCTTTGCCGATGACTGAACGGTTCCACAGAAAGGTGAGTCTGACATACTTTTAGAAGGCACTCTTACATCTTCTGTGGGAACGACTGGCGATAGATGGCTGATCTGAAAAGGATCGGCAACAATCTGTCTATCCTTTTGAGGCGAGAGTTCAAGAAGGTTTGGATCCACAGATGATGATATGAAAGATCCTCGCCGATGAACGGACTTCTTAGTTAAAGATGTAACGATCCCGAGGAGTGGTGGACCTGATAAGCTCTTAGGAGGCGACGTATCGAAAACTTTTGAAGGAACATAGGATAATTTTTGTGTGGTATCCGATGACTGGACTGCCATAGAGGGTAGCAGACCCAACTCGGTTACAGCGTGACTAGTCTCATTTAATGAAGAGCCGCACAAGGCGTTTGAAAAACAGGATGCATCTCTATTAAGACTTGAAGTATGGACGTGCTGCTCGGTGGAAGAACTTTCTAGTGTAGGATTTTGGTTGGCTGATTCTGTGACTCCATCAGTGTTTGAAGAAAGACACTTCGAAAGGGTTCTCCTCAAAGTAATTTTGGCGGACTGGTGGATACTCAATTTTTTTGGGGTAGCAGACTCATGAAGGATATTTGCTTTCAATGTGGTGCCAAGAGATGAAAGACTTCTGCAGACTGTTTTTTTGTTGATTTTGACTGCCAACACGGGACGCTCATCCCACGGATTGAAGTCCTCCGACATCTGCAATACTCTGAAATCAATTTCATAAACGGCAACAGGTTATAAACCACGAATGAATACTGGGTCGTGTCGATCATAACAAGCGAGGAGAAATCGCAACATCATTCTATAAAACATGCAAACCATCCGTGTATTAAGA